AAAAAAAAAAAAAAAAAAAAAAAAAAAAAAAAAAAAAAAAAAAAAAAAAAAAAAAAAAGCATAGTAATATGCTGGTCATGCTCGTTTTTCACGGTTTGTGCACGTAACATGTGGTTTAAAACAAAATAAGTATTGTAAATCTACCATTCTCCCCCGTTTTGTTGGATGAAATTTAAGAAGTCAAAGAATTTAATAAAAGACCATTTTTTTTCTCTCACCAAATAAAATGATTTTAGGAATGTTGCATTTTAACCAATGAAGTACAATGATGAAAACAGACGTGAAATCTTTTATCTACAGATTGCGATTCCTGAATATTTTTAAAATGATTGACTTTTCTTGACACAGCCTCTTGAACAGTAGTTTCTATCAATTCTTTATGATATTTCAATATCATTTATGATAATGTTACAACAATATGTGTAAATCAATAATGAAACTTCTAATGCCCTGTCTTTTTGCAGCAACCCGATTTCGTCTTATAACAAAATTATTCGTCTTATATATCAATAATGAAACTTCTAATGTCCTGTCTTTCTGTAGCAAAGTGATTTCGTCTTATTCAAAATTATTAGATTATTCTATAAAGTCGAGATAGCGATAAAATCATGCAACTATCAGTTTTGTTTGAAAAATTAAAAAGATGTTAAAGAATAAATGTATAATATTATTTATACTTTTTTGCCAGAACTTATTTAATTCAATTTTTACATTTTGTCGTTCTTTACACCAGGTTCGAAGTCTGGTATAGCCAAATATCGTACTTGGACGGGTATTTGGTAGCACCGCACTTTTTAACTGTTGTACTAGAAATCTAACTAGCCAACACACTTGTGAGTCTGTAACTGCCTTTGTAACTAGCACATCGCATTTTCTCAAACTTGAGATAAAAATTAGGGAAAAGATACTTTCGTTATACTTTTAAATGGAATCAAGCTATAAATATTTCTTAAAAATATAGCAGGGATGTTTTGTGTAGGAAATATTTGCAAAAAAAATAAAATATTTTATTAATAAAGCATCAATGACAAAAAATAACGTAAAATTTCAATAGCATGTTTTTTTTTGGAACAATGTTTTGACAAATTGATTCTATTTAACTTTCATTCAAAAAAAATAAAAAACAAAACCTGCTTTACATTACAGATGTTTTCGATTAAATCAATCTTAATAAAAAATTCATGTAAACCTTTTTATGAAAATTTTTTCAGAAGTTAACTAAGACATATTTACTACAAAATATGTATTCCAAAAATGTTATCTCCCTTTAAAGTTGTAATTTCCTACAAACATGAAATCAGTGATATTTTTCTAAATTTTAAAGTAATCTGAAATTCATTAATGTCGAAATAAATATGTTTGCAATTGATCTAGAGGGAAATATATATAATAGAAGGGATTTTTCCTCGATGACTTTTGCACCAGTCTTAAGCTCTAAATGATACTTATCCATCTGAATCCGTTTTATATAAATTCCGTTTTATATAAATATATTCCGTTTTATATAAATTTTATATAAAATCCGTTTTATATAAATTATATTTAATTTTATCTGATTTAATGAGAATTGATTAAAAATAAATTAGGAAAACAATTGAGAGTTATTATGTAAGTTTTAGCAGTTATTTTATTTTATCAATTCACAGACTGAAAACCCGGAGTTAACCTGAATCTAATAAACTTGTATATAATTGCAGGAATTAAATGAAGAGCAAATTTCCATTATTTTCTCATCATTTTTAGTAATGATGGAACAATAATGGAAAATCTCGAAATTTTTCGGAAGATCCATTTTTTAATATGAAGCGTCTCAGCTATAAATTATGAAGCGTCTCAGAGATAATTTATTTTATAACCATCGTTGAACAGCCGACACAATTTAGGATTTACTGCTACTAATATTCGATTCCGTAGCCTTAAAATTTTGAACCCAATCCAGAAGACAAGGGAACTCCTGTATCAAATATTGGGAGAAATTTGCCTTCGTGGAGGACTTTTCGATGGAACTAACCCTCATTTTCGTTAAATTGAGAGGAAGATCTCGAAAACCTTCCACGGTTAAAATGGTGTCAAGAGGACTCTAGCCCATGATCCGTCTACCACTGAGGATATTTTACGTCAGCGCTGTGGTCGGTGCAAGCCGGATGCAGAATTCGAATCTACCAGCTATTTCTGGGTTCAAATTCGGGTTACCTCATTGGGAGGTGAGCGCTCTATCCCCTGAGTCACCACAACTCGTCGCAGACATATTAACATGGTGAATAATGCTATACCGAAAACTAAACAAAAACATCAGCAAACAGCAATTTGGCGATTCTCGAGAATGCTCCTTCAACGCCAAAAGCAATTTTCGCCAACTATAAGTCTTATCCTAAATACGATCTGCTTTTAATCTCCAAGGAAGCAGTGGTCTCCCCATTTCTATTCATAGAAAGAAGAAAAAACATAAAATTCAAAGGCAGATCGAACTTTCAAAATGATTATTTACACCTGCAAATATCAAATTCTTTAGCTGTAAATGCGTAGCGCCTAAACATGTTATTAATCAAAATTATACATAACTCAAAATCTGAAAATAAAAGCAATGAAAATAATAAAAAATTGTCCATTTTTAAAAATGGAGTCATGGTGGCTCAGGCGATAGAGCTTTCGCGTTCCAATGAGGAGAGCTGCAACTAAATAAAATAATAATATTTTATAAAGGTTTTTTTTTTTGCATGAAATTATTTTTAAATAAACGAATTTCATAATTGCGTGCAAATTTTTTTTAGTTCGTTTAAAAAGTTCTAAAGATATAACGAAATACGCAAAAAGTAAACTTAGCATTAAGGGGTTCAAACTTTGGAGCCTGACCAAACAGTTGGGACCATATTTTCCAAATTGCGGCTACCCCTATATTTTGGGCGTCAAAAATCTGAATCCGTCGAGAAAAAAAGTATGTTTATTCAGAGAAAGTACGTTTTTGTGTCCAATTTTGTAACTTAAAATATCGTCTGCCCTTATTAATTCTCATGTTTGAAGTCAACCCCTTGAACCATTAAGATGGAGTTACCTAGAACGTGAAGATCCAATAATTAGACCAAAAGTTATTCAGTGTGGTCCATTTTTGTTTTGTTGTGCTCTGTATATTGAAGTACTATTAAAAATAAAAGTTTAGACAAAGAAGCTCTGCTCCAATACATTGTGCAAAAGCATCCCAGGAATATTGAAAATAAATTTCCCCATAAAGTAGGGCGAAGAGACAAACTTCAATAAAAAATTTTATATCATTCCTTAATATTCAAATAATAACATGTAGTAAAATAATATGTGTTTGACATAAAATCGTCATATAAATAAAATTTGATTTCTCAGAAACTATTCAATTGATTTCGCATAAATTTTGTATTTTTCCATACAAAATT